ATTATAAACATGTCAATTTGTACAGGTAAACTGTGTGTAAGTAAGTTAACTGGGATCCAGTATTCATTGGTCCCGATGGTCCTAAATTCTGACTTGGACTTCTAAATAATTCTAATTATCAGTCCAGCGGCTAATTGAGTTTTTTTTTCCCTGTGATATATTGTTTGTATACAATTGTATATTGATAAAAAAAAAATCAAACAGGGCCATAAAATATGTGATGTTCTTTTTGTTCAATCGCTAACTCAATACCCAAAAAATGTCAACAAGTATTGTGTAAAAGACGGGGTAAAATCATTTCCAACTAACAAAAACAACTTCGACAGTTAGCCGCTTTACCAGAAATATACATTGTAGGTACAAAAAATGTAAATGCAATACCTGATCTGATTCCGGAACCAGATAAGGCTATTTCAAAGTATGTAAAACAAAAAAGAAAGTTTTGCCAACCGACCAACCTTTTTTTGAGATGGTTACACACGTATTTTTTCTTGGACTTACCAGAGGCTGTTACCATGGTTACCAGACATTGCATTATTGAAGTTCGTGTAACTGTCGATTCATTGATTATCATGGGTACCAATTTTCGTATATTATGGAAAAATTGTTTTTTCATTGAAATTTGATTTCATGGTTTTACAAAAGTCTGCATACATGGTGTTACGCAGCGTACAATCCTATAGAAAATTGGTACTAATTGAACATTGTCACCTGTATCCACAAAATCCACGAAAACTTGGCATCCAACAGATAATAATGATTCCACAGTAAGTAAGTTCAATTATATATCCCCTTAACAAGTATGACCCATAAGTTTTAACAATATTCATCTTAGCCATTTAGAAGGAGTTGGCTTACGAGAGACAACATGTTGCAATATGGAAATAAGTTTCAATTGTTTCCCTTTTAATACATGTATGTACAATGTAGACTGTAGGACCAGAACAATATTCCTTAATGCACATACAAAGGTAGTGTGTTACAACTGTGTAAAGTTCAATTAACATGATTAATATATGTCTAGCTGTTTATGAGGATTTGGGATAACAAGGTACAAAAACAGACGACAGGGTGATTCCCATAGTTTGCAATAGTCACCACCAAAACATTGTTTGTGGGGGATATTACCATTAATTCTAATATGATGTTCTTCCTTCACTTTGGAAACAAAGCCATGTTCTAATTCAAATAAAACATGGGCTGCACGTGATTGACGTCACAATTGAAATTGTGACGTCAGTTGTTTTTTTAATAACGCCGGAGATCAAAATGGACATTTGTGTTGGTGTTCCTCGCTAGGAAATTAAATCAAATATTTCTAAAAGTAAGTTTACATAAACCTATTAATTTTTTATCGTGAAACAGTTGATTTTCCATAACGTTTTGGCTTCATAAAATAAAAATGGCTGCCTTTCGAACGTGTATTATAGGTTTGCTTCAAACTACCAAAGTTCTAAATTTTCCTATTAGAATCGAAATAATTTCTATCATGCCATGCTCTTTGCTCATTCTAACATGGGTAGGCATTATATTTGTCAACATTTTACACCTCGCTGACACTCAGTATAAAGATATTGACAAATATAATGCCTTAGTACCCATGTTAAAATGAGTATAGACATGACATGAAAGAATCATTTCTTACATACTGTAAATGTCAAGTATCACCCCAAGGTCCCTGCCCTTATTTTTTAGTGTTTCCTACAGGAGGGTTTTGGATGTCATGGCGCCTTGCCACATTTTCTGGACAATGTTGACGAACTGCCCTTTTTGTGTAAAAAAAAAATGTTTTGGAATTCCATAATGTGTTTGATCGTATAAATGTTTTTAACCCTTTCACCAATAGCCGCCCTGACAGAAGCTACTCCGAGACAATGGCTTCCCTGTCTATTTGGACACAAGTGGGAGATCTTCATATTAGATATCAATAAAAACTTGTCTGTAGTTATCTATCTCTTTATTTTATTCACTTACACCATGGACACAGTTTTGTTAATGTTTTGATAAATTTTTAGTCAGAAAACGGCAAAAGTTTGAAAATTTTAACGAGGTTGTAGAAATGCCTTACACTGAACGATGTCCATTCCAACGGCATTTAAAAGTATACTAGTCTGGCTTCAATTCTTCCAAAAAAAATGTACCCTTATTTCAAATTCCAGTAAATTCCGTAAATTTCATTTGATTTTGACATGGTTTTCAACAAAGGGAAGTGCCATGTTTACACTTTCATCCGGGCATTAAACTAAGAGAGATAACCTGTGTTCGCAATGTTTTTCAGCGGGAAATATAAAAGAGGTATTCCGATCCCAGTAAACCGGGACTCATTGTCAGCTGTCTAAAGCGTGAAACCAGGTTTCGTCGGCGAAAGGGTTAAGCAACTGAGTACAAAATAAAAAGTTCACATTTGAATCTAATAAGGACAATAACCATTTGTACCTTTACAAATTTTTAAATATGATCATTTAAAGGGAAACCAGGCGATTGTCCGAGTAATAATTTTAGGATGCATGGATTGAATATTATGTAAACATAAATCAGCTGTTTGATTATATTTTCATTTTACAAGTATCACCAACTATTCTGTCAGTCCAGATGTCAGATCACTCAGCTTTCTTACTGTTGATATCTAAATTAAATTAACGTTAAGAGAATACACATGTACAGGTGATATAGTTCTGAATGCATAAATAATGCATGACCAGCTGACCAATTTCTTAGTAAGGGTGATAATAAAAAAAACTTTTTCTGGAAAGATAAATCGTCGATTACAGCTTTTAAGTACAGAGCTCCAGATAAGCTGCGTATTTGCGTGATCACGCAATACAAATAATTAAAAACCCAATGCAATTGCCGATTGCAAGGTTCAATAACCCAATTAATTCAAAGGAAAACCCAATTATATGCCAAAACCATGAGTTCTTAACGCTTTTATTCGCTATCGTTTGCGTTATTTACCCTTATCTGATTACAGTCGTCGCGTAAATCTATTTTTATAATATTTATAATTGGAAATGTCCTTTCGTTCTTAAAATAGAGCCCTGCATCAAGTAGCTGTAATGGGTCCCTGTTGGAATTTTCCGTTGCTCAAAAGGTACACGTGTTTATGAAAACATTTCGATCTTCTCGGAGTTTATCCAATTAGCGTGTGACATGCTGTCATATTTTTTCGAACTGCTCGGGATTTATCATAACATACAATGAATTAAAACGAAAGTAAATGTCCGATAAAAATATTGAATAGAAGCATGTTTTCGGCTTCTTTTTGATAGCTGAGGGAAAGTTATGATGATAACAAGACTCAGCTAGTGATTTTGAGAAGCGTCCATTGAACCCACGGGCGTGTTTGCGTACCTTAACGAGAACATTGCTATAGAACGATAAACACGGGGTTTCGTCAAAAACGAAATCAGTTGGAAAAAGTGAAAGGCCAAATCAATTATGACATGATACGTAGTTGGAAAGCATCGGAAACCAAAAGTTCTGATAAGGGACAACTTAACCCAGATTTATGTAAATTGAATTAAACAAAAACAGTTTATATATTATTATTTTTCATTTTAGTTGATGAATGAATACACATATCCGTTTTTTACGTCAAATTATACAGCTTGACACTTTCTTTGTTTTGGTCTAATTGTTCTGGATGCTTAAGATAGTTGTCTTATTGGCATGTGCAGTATAACATTGTCATTTATTTACTTGATGTTGCAGAATTATTTGTAAATTTAAGTTGAATGTGGTCTCCATCATTAAACCACCCTATAAATCTCAAGGTTTTGGGGTATATCTTAAATCTGGGAACTACTTTTTTATTTTTATTAAAAAGTAGATCTGGCAAATAGGTGAAAGGACTGGCAAAACTTTCTTACAGCACCTAAATTTCACATGTATTACATAAAAATCTAAACACTTAGCCACACCTACCCCAACTATAAACTGTAGGGTGATCATATGGGATCTAGAAAGGCAATTAGTTACTGTCCAACTAGTGACACCAGCTGCAGTTTACATAAGTTTTGAGAAAATACAAAACTGACAGAACGTTTAAAACGGGACACAAATTAAACGTACAATTGCTCATCAGTGAATAAACCAAATAAAACAGCTAGTCACATATACAAAGAAAGAAACACATTTAAGATGGAAACACATCTGGGGTTGATATAATGTGATTATAACATGCCTAAATATTCAATATAGTGTTGATGAAAAAACCCAATACATTAAGGAGCTTGGTGGTGAAAAACCCAATTTGATATTTGCTTGAGGGGTGAATTGGAATTGATAATGCAATTAAAAAACTTTATTACCCAATTACATAAAAAAAATGGTGGGTAAAAACCCCAATTTGTGAATTCTTATCTGGAGCTCTGTAAGTATAAAATATACAATCAAGAATGCTGATGATAAATAATTGTTACATATGTGGCATTTTTACAAAAATCAACCAACAAAGTAAAACATGTAAAATATAACTAAGGATTATCAAAAATGTTAATTTTTTATGAAATGTACATACATCTTCTGTACACTAAATGTGATTTTTCAACATCATTGAAACAAAATAAGTCTCATTATTCTTCCAATATACTTCTTAAATATAAAAATTATCTGTTGAATGTAAAACACAATTTTGTCCTGTCTGCATTCTTTTTTACTTCCCATTTCAAAACACAATCCTGTAAGACTGTTTCACAACATCGTCCGCAAAGATTTATTGTAAATTCGTTTGCGGTTATTTAAGGTTGTTAATTGTCATTACAAACTTAGTTATATAGTCATGGAACGATTATCAGTGCATATTGAAAGCAGCTTCTATTTTGCTGCGACATGGCCTGGGTAACATTTCAATTCAAATTTAAGGTCAAATGACGTGGCTTGGGTTAATCATAAGTTAAGATTTACATCTTCTACATTCTCTTACTTGAAACAATCGTATTGGAATTGAATATCAGACAAAATGTCGGTATCAAATCGTTTATTTTGGGCTCGACACTTACGATTATTTTTCTGGTAGCACCTGTCGCCATCTTGAATCTGATCTTCGTTCCAAATAAGGAAGTTTTAAGGGAGACTATACTAACCGAAACCGGATTTCATATGATTACCGTTTCCGGAATTAGAAAAATCCACAAAAGACTATTTTCCCCTGAGAGTTAGTCAATGTAAATAAAATAACATATATCTAAAAATAAAAAAATAAATATTTATAAAAGGTACGCATAGATAGAAACTAATATTGATATACGATTCATTTTTTTCTCATAATTTTCACTACAAACATTCAGAGACATATATACTCTGACACATTAAAGTTTTAAAATATTATAGTGGACATGGCAACTTCAAATTGAATACTTTTCTTTGTGAGTTTATGTCCAAAAATTGGAGTGAGCCAGAGTCTGTGATCCCCTAAATCAATATTTTAGCAAGTGGTACGAGGAATTTTATGGTGTGAAGTCTTATTTAAATTTTATTCAAAATTTTTGTTTTCAGGAGCAAGAAATGATTTTTTAACACCAAAATAGTTGTAATTTTCTGTGAAATGTGGAGCAAGTGATGTATTGTTACTTGCGTTTAAAAAATTGAGCTTTAATTCAGAAAATCTTTAGGGGATGACGTACGGAAATTATGATTTAGACTATCAAACATTAAACTGGAATCCGCTTGTATTTACGATACGATACATGTAACCTATTGCTTATAGTATCTGAGAAATAGACTTTATAACCACATATGAACAAAGTGTAGTATAGTCAGAAGAGTACCAGCTTATCGAAACATTTGATAAAACGAATCTGAAGAACTATGAATATAACGTCATTTTCATAAGATATAAAAACCTGAGAAAAAATTTTCTAAAATTTTGGGAACACCAAAAAGAGTCGGGCTTGGACTCTGGTAAACTTACCACATTTTATTGTTTAAAAACTAGCTTCCGAAGAGAAGCCTATTTAAGTATCTTATTTTTTATAATCAAATTTAGATTAATTGCCCACCAACTTCGTATAGAAACTGGGCCATACGAAAAAAAGAAAATAAATGAACAATAAGTGCCGCTGAAAAGAGAAGATCGATTTTATGCACTCATTGTACACTATCATAATAATATAATAAAATACTTTATTTTGAAACACTCAGACACATATATACATGTGTAACAAGAGGCAAAATACATATGATCATATTAATGGTTGCTACAGAACAATGTTAACAAAATCATATAATTTAGAGTATAATTACAATATTTTAACTAATTTGTTAAGGTAAAGTGATAAGTTCTTCATAACTTTAATATGGCAAAGTGAAAGCAGTCCTGAATTCATTTTCTCAACTCATGGATACCTGTGGTAATATTCTGAAATATATGCATGCTTATTTCTTATATTTTGAACAATAACAGACTGGCACTGAAATAGATAGTGAAACTCATTTCCAATTGACAAGGAGCAGAGATGACACTATCTTTCATCTCTAGGAATTCCCTTCCATCTTCCTGTTTCTATTAGTATTTTTTAAAAGATTGCAGCATCGCAGTTTAGTTATATTTTTACGATCCGCAAATAAGAGTCTTAATAAATATATTTCTAAGCCAAAGTCGATTTTGAAAAGACCATAATATTCCCCCCTCGCTGAGTTTTGGATTTGACTGTGCCACTGTTGGATGAATTCGTCTGTTAATATTCGTTTTTATCTGAATTGGATCTTGCTTTGATTGAATATTCCTTAAAAAGCTAAATCCAGTATTGTCAAATATGGATTTAACATGTTCAATCCATTTAAACTTATGCAATCCGGATTCGTTCAATTTGAACATTGTATGGTACAAAATGGAAGAAAGTTTATGATTATTGCAAATAATTCGGTTCCAAAAATTAACTATTCTAATTTTAATTATGATATCGATCGGACATCGACAAAGCTCACCATAAATCATGAAATTTGGAGTTGTTGTTCTAACACCTAGGATATTTCTACAAAACTGTAGATGTATCTTTTCTAAAATATAAGTGTTTTCAAAACCCCACACCTCACAGCCGTAGATAAGAACTGGCAGTACTAGGGTATCAAAAAGTCTTAGTTGTAATTCTATTGGTAAAGAGACATTTCGCAATTTCCTGTAAAGGCCAAATAGCGCCTTATAGTCGCATGGTTATCTGCAATTTGTTTCGCCTTTACAAATGAACCATTATAGCTAAAAGTGACACCAAGATATGAATAAGAATTATGGTTTTCTAATTCTTCGCCAAAATGTATGAAAACTGGTTGTATTCTGGTTTTCTTCTTGCGAAAGGTAACAATCTTCGTTTTTGAAAGATTTATTTTTTAATTTCCATTGTACACAATACTTTTCGAATGCTAATAGAGCTTCTTGTATTGATTCGGGTGTTTCTGATAAAATAATAGTATCATCTGCATACAACAAAAAATAATTTTAGATAGATAGAAAATTTTCATGAGATTTTGTCTCGAGGCTTTGCAAGTGGGGAACATCGTTTTCTAAAGAGAAGCATTCAAGATCATTTAGGTACAGTGCAAATAGAAAGGGTGAAAGGTTTTCTCCTTGCCCAACTCCTATATCGCATGCAGTTAAGAATGACGAAAGCTCGTCTCCGTCTTTAATACACGATTTGACATCGTTATAGAGATAATGAACTTTAAACACTTTACCTGTGATTTCTGATTTTTGTAATTTGACCCACAATGCATGGGAGCGCGATATAGTGTCAAAAGCCTTAGAAAATTCTACAAAAGTACAATAAAGTTTTTCCCCAAACGATTGGTAAATAGATATCAGGGAATACAGAACGAATATATTATCTAATGTGCTATACCCTTGCCTAAAACCTGTTTGAGCTTCTGATATCAATTCAATTTCATCCGATAATTCTCTTAGTCTTCCATTTAAAACAGCTGTGAAGGTTTTTCCAAGACATGAAACTAGTGTAATGGGTCTATGATAATTGGAGTCACATTTGTCACCTTTATTATTGTAAAAAAGGTTTAATCACACCTTTTGACCAAACTGAAGGAATCTTTCCAGTGTTTAGCACAATATTAAAAAATTTTGTAATAAAAAGGCAACATCAGAGGAACAGTTGATTTTATATGTTCATTGACTTTACCATCAAACCCAGCAGCTTTGTTATTTTTAAGATTTTTAATCACTTTTAAAATTTCTTCTTCTGTAATATCAGAATTCAGAATTCGACCAATATTCTCTGGTGGCACTTTATTAAAATCAATACCTGGATAGTCTGCCTCCTCATTAGACAAATTAAATTTTTCAAAATATTCAAGAAATTGTTCAATACCTTCTGGGCTTTTATTACTTGACTTTGGTTTCCCAATACTATTTAATTGTTTCCATAAGTTTTTAGGGTCAGATTTTGACTTTACGTTCAAGTCATCTGCAATATTCTCTTGGAATATATGATATGAGCAATTCCGAAGTTGAGAATGAACAACATTTTATGCTCGAATGTCCACTCTATGCCAATGAACGTCAACAAATCACAAATAAAACTGTTCAACTATGTCAAAACTATTTATTTCTGAAAACATTTTGTATCATGACATCATACAAAAGATTTAAACTGTACTTAAACCTTTAAATATAACTACTAAAATAACATCATATGTCAGAACATATAGTTTATATTATTACTAATATCTCTATTTGGACCATTCTACTCTTATAAAATGCATGTATCTGTATGCCCCACAAGGGCTCCGAATTGCAATATGTTTAATTTTTGTTATATGTTTTATGTTATAAGAGAATTCATGACTTCTTACTCATAATAGATGAATCAACTCGATAGAAATATTGACTTTTTGGGATAATTTTGACTAAGCTTTTAGGAAATAACAACTGGTGCCAATGTTAGTGCCAGATAAAATTAAGCTTTTACGAAATAACAACTGGTGTCAATGTTAAGTCCCAGATAATGAGAATAGGATAATACACACTGTGACAGTACTTGAATGATTAATTGGTTGTTGTTATTTGTTTAACGTCCAGTGGTAAATATTTCATGCATATTTAGGGGGAAACGGTGAAAATTCTTCACTAACTTTAATATCAATTACATTATTCATCTGCATTTATTCTTCTTTTCTTTGTATGAATGCAAGGAGATGCTGAATGATAAATGTAAACCGTTGATCAGACAACACTGAACATGCATATATAAACACACAAGATTTTAAAGTAAAATCACAAAAATACTGAACTCCGAGGAAAATTCAAAACGGAAAGTCCCTAATCAAATGGCAAAATCGAAAGCTCAAACACATCAAACGAATAGATAACAACTGTCATATTCCTGACTTGGTACAGGCATTTTCTTATGTAGAAAATTGTGGATTAAACCTGGTTTAATAGCTAGCTAAACCTCTCACTTGTATGACAGTCGCATCAAATTCCATTATATTGACAACGATGTGTGAACAAATCAAACAGACATAATAGGTAAAAATGTCAAAAATAGGGGTACAGCAGTCAACATTGTGTTACAATCTTAATCACTATAAAAGCAGACTTGGACACATTATTTGAACGATTCATTTGCATGCCCAAATCATACATTAAATAGTCTTGATTCATTAATAAATTAAAAACCTTATGAAAATAAGATGTGATATAATCGATTGCCAATGGGCCAACTTCCCATCAAAGACTATGCAAATTGCATAGAAGTAAGCATCTATATATCACCGTACGGCCATCAATTAACAATGAACAAAATCCATACCGCATATAGCAAGCAATCAACGGTCCCGACGTACAAAATGTAAAACAATTCAAACGAGAAAACGTACTGCCTGAGTTATGTACAAAATTATAAAAAAAAAACTGTAATATGCAACAAACGACAGCCACTTAATTACAGACTCCTATCGTGGGACAGACGCATATAGAATGTGGCGGGGCCATGCATGATTGCGTTCCTCTAACCTAGGACAGTGGTACAACAGCACAAGATAAGAACAATCTATAAAATCAAATGATAAAGGTTTGACTCGTTAGATCGAAACAAAATACACACACCAAAAAAA